CTTTGTTGCATTGGCATAATCAGTGACTTGTACATTCAGGAATAGCATTTGAGCAAGTTTTATCAGCAAGCAATATTTTCAGTTACAGTTTCAAAAATCATGTAAGAATGGAGTTAAACTTGCTGAATGTAGAGATTGAACCTCAAGTCACTGTAGCTTTAGTAATTGCTTATTGTATTAGTTTAGATGCTAGCACTGCATGTGCTGTGCATATTCTGATTTTATTAAAATAAAAAGTTGAACTGCACAGTCTCCTTTGTTCTTGTTGAACTGTGTTTTTTTTGTTTTGTTTTGTTTTGTTTGGTACCGGAGATGGAACTCGGGACCTTGCGCTTGCGAGGCAGGCACCAGAAGCACTGAGCTAAATCCACGGCCCTCAACTGTGTTTTTAGAAGTGAAAATAAAGTTGTGCTTTTGCCTGAAAAAATAAATTAATAAATAGTTGTGTGACCAGCTACAGTCTCCTTTTAGAACATTTCTATCATCCTGAGCACTTCCCTCTGTCATTTAGTCACTCTGCTCTCACCCAAGCCCCAGGGATGCAGTAGAGCCATGCTCTACATTTGTCTTCCAAGTCTTGCCTTTTCTAGAAATTTTATATAAATGAATTGTACAGTAGTTTTGTGTGACTTCTTTCAGTTTTAAGCTACAGCTATCTTGTTCCTTTTTCATTGCTGAGTAGTATTCCATCGTGTGGCTATATTGCATCTGGCATATCTGTCCCCCAGGTGATGGACATTTAAAAGGGCTGTGTTCAGGTTTTGGCTCTTATGCATAAGGCTGCTCTGAACATTGACTTCCAACTCTGCATGGGCATGTGTTTGAACTTTCAACTTAATTTTAATTTCTGGTGTTAGAGTGCCATGAACTGCTCATAAAGTTGGAGAATAGAGTGACAGCGAGTTAACCAGCAAGTTGTTGCCCAGCGCCTCCGGCCTGGTGCGTACCATGCTAGGCTCCAGGCGCCCACACCCTTCTCAGCAAGAGTCCTCCCTCCTTCCCAGCAGCACCCTGCCTCCCGAGGACAGGCAGCCTCAGGCCCGCCCTATCTGGGGTCCATCTCACCAGCAGGAACCTCATTCTTGCAGAAGGGCTAATTTAGAGCAAGAGAAAATGCTTGATGGGCTGCCTACAAAAAAAGTTTGTCTTCCTTAAGAATGAAGAACTGTGCGTAAGCACAAGCATTCTTTTATCGCTTCCCTGTCGTCGAAAGGTTTATTTTCTTTGGCTAAAATTTCAGAAAGTGCGTAACCAGCAGTATCTGATTGTAACAGGGCACCGTGGATCCGATGACGATGTCTCGGACTGGTCGGCGCGGCTCTCCAGGCCCTGGGCTCCTAAGCCACTCACTGCAACCTGCACCGCGGAGCCAGCGCCAGGGCCAGCGGATGATGAGGGTCTTGTTTGGCCGCCTTCCTCTTAGCACAGGGCAGAGAGGGCGGCTGCTTGCCCCGAAACCGAAAAGCAGCCCACGAGAGCGGCCCCTCCTCCCTTCCAGAAGTCTGGGGGTTACTTAGGATTCCTGAAAGCTTAGTTTGAAAATGACCCCTTTGCTCCTGTTCTTCCCCTGCTGAGGAACAGCTCGGCGGGGCACGCATGTGTTGCCTGTGGTTCACGGGCTGTGGTGTGAGCAGAGCGCGGCCCCCAGGCAGCAGGAGAGCGGTCAGAAAGGCCGGAGTGGCCAGGCCGCAGAGAGCGGGAGCAGAAGGCAGGGAGCGAGGAAAGACAGCTAGGCTTGCTTGTAGCTTTTTATATTTTTGTGATTCTAGGAATTAAACCTGGGGCCTTCACACCGAGCCACATCCCCAGCCCTTTATAATTTTTATTTTTTATTTTGAGAGGCCTCATTAAATCTGTAAGTTGCCCAGGCTAAGTTTGAACTTGTGATTCTCCTGCCTCGGCCTCCCAGGGTGCTGAGATTACAGGTTTGTACCACCACGCATGACTCAGGTGAGCCATTTTTTTGTTTTGGTTTTGATTTCTTCAGACAGGATCCCACTATATAGTTCAGGCTGGCCCTGATCTCACTCTGTAGCCCAGGCTGGCCTCAATCACCCGGTGATGCTCCTGCCTCAGCCTCCCAAGTAGCGAGTAGCTGGGATTCCAGGCCTGCACCACCACACCCATCAGGAGTAACATTTTCACAGTCAAACCCCTAATACAATGTGTCCCAGTAGTGACTCGAAAGGGAGGGTTAAGAACACTCCTCACAGGCAAGACCAGATCGGTCTTTGGGAGGCATGGAAATCCAGATGTGCATTCCCAGTCAGCCTGTGTTCTCGCCCAGGCCCTGCCTGCTAGAATGATGGGTCGGGATGATTTGAAGGTTCTCCCAGCTCTGTTATGCTTCGAGGAATGCTCAAGCCCTCCCCTCCTTCTGACTCCAAGCGTGCTTTAAATCTTAAGAGGCCCCATATCTGGTAGATGTCATCTCTTTTGAGTAGCAAGATGGCCGTCAGGCGGAGGTCCTGGGGATCGGTCAGAGCTCCTGTGCTTCGGACTGGTAACCCAGCCTGCGTATCTCAGGCCAAAGGGAGGTGCGGGCTGGTGTCAGTGCGTGCAGGCAGGCAGTCGTGCAGCCTGTAGCCCTGAAGCTGGACGCTGGCCTCTTCTTCGTCCTGAGGTGCTAGCAGCCTGCTCTCTGCCTTGTGGCTTCTTCCTGTTGAGGGCCACACCTGCTAACCACTCCTAGCTCATCTCCTCATAGCCTCCTGAGCAGAGTTCAAAACACAGCACACCCTGGAAGGCTGAGGCAGGAGGATCTCAAGCTTGAGCCCAGCCTGGGAAATTTAGCAATTTAGTGAAACCCTATCTTAAAATTAAAAAAGGAAAAAAAGGGGGGGTTGTGCTGGGAATGTAGTTCAGGGCAAAGACCCTGTGTTCAAGTCCCAGTACCAGAAAAAACCAAAATAACAACACAGCAGACCCTGGATGAGGCAGGGCGTCTCTCCTGAGCTCACCCCCCATCCTGTCCAGGTAAGGTCACTGTCCAGGCTTCAGGCCCATCCCTTTGTCTGGCAGGGCCTTGCTCTGTACCCCTTCCACCCCCTGCCTCTAGCCTCCCTCTCTGCCTGCTCTGCCCAGAGCATTTAAACTGCTGCAGTCACCTCCACTTAAAGCAAAAAGCCTGTTCTCAGCCAAAGTTGTCACACTCACTGTCTCAGCCCCACCTTCTGTCCTGCCGAGCTGGCCCTCACCAGTGTCCCTCCCAAAGGCTGCGCTGCGGCCCTGCTGGGCCGTCAGACTACTGGGGCCTGAGCTCACAGTGGGTGTCCCGGACCCCCACCCAGCTGCCCACTGCACTTGGCTCTTTGGTTGGCCCATAAATGCCTCAAACTCAGCCCACCCCTACCCGAGGCCAGCTGTGTCCAGAATTAGCAGCACACGCTTTGTTGCTGGGACAGAATACCTGACGCACACAAAGGAGGAAAGGCTTTATTTTGGCTCATGACTTCAGAGGTTTCAATCCATGGTCTACTGGCTCCAAAGCAAAACATCACGGAAGAGGAAAGCTGCTCACCTCATGGCACCCAACAGGCAGAGTGGGTTGGAAAAGCTGGAGAAGAAAGATACCCTTCACCTCCTAACAGCTCATTCAGCTCTAAACTAACTCATCAGTGAATTCAGCCGGCAGTGCTGTCCAGGCCCCATGACCCAGTTACCGTTCAAAAGCCCCACCTCTGAACACATGAGCCTTTTAGGGGGCATTTCATAGCGAATGCATAATACTCCTCTTTCATAGCCCGACCTGATCTAGTCCCAGAACTCACTTCAGACACTGCTGCTGGCCCCGCTCAGGGCAACAGCCCCCTCTGCTGGTGCTGCTTGGCTACAGTCTCGCTCCCACCAACCCTCGCTCCCCTTCCTCTTCTAAACCGTAGGTGCTCAATGAAGAGCCTCACGGCTGCCAGCACATGCAGATCAGGTCTAAGTTCCTTCCTGTGGCCAGAAGAGCCTTTCTGTTAGTTCACCTCTTGGTTCTCCTTCCTCATTCTGGACCAACATCCAGTCCCTCACACGCGCTGCGGTCTTCTCTGGGCTTCCATCCGAGCTGTTCCCTCTGCTCTGTGCTGACTTCAGCATCTGTCGATCCTCATGCCTCCTCGGGGCCTCCTGGGATTCACAGCACTGAGCTAGGTGCCTCCACCCCGTGCTCCCATAGCATTGTTTCCTGCTGCAGGTCTAGCGCTGGGCACTACTGGCTGGCTCTCTGTCCCACAGACTGTGCCTGCTGAGTAGGGACTGCCGTCCCAGGTCAGGATACCCCCAGGGCATGACAGAGAGGGCTCCAAACATCTAGTGCTGGTGTCTCCCACACCTGCCCAGGGCATCAGAGGGTGTTTCTGTGGCTTTCACACAGTAAAAAGGAGTTTCACAGCAGCTTAAAAGGGCCAAATCAGTAAGTTATCTACCAGGTGGCTCAGTGTGGCCACAGGTGTACACTAAACAAAATTAACTAAATAAAGGCAGGAACAAGATGGGAAAGCCTCCAGGTGGATGGAGGTTAAGCTGCTTGCAGATGAGGTTATGGAGATGGCTTTCACTTTCAAAATCTTTTCATACTTCGCCAGTGCCTCACAGTTGGAAAATGAGCTTTTTTCTTTTGTTTGGAGTGGGGAGAATGAGAGGGCATAATTCCTTACCTACCTAAAACTTTGAGTATCAAAATATTTCTATTTTATCTGTACAATATAAATTTATAGCTTTTTTTTTTGGTACCAGGGATCGAACTCAGGACCTTGAGCTTGCAAGGCAAGCGCTGTGCCACTGAGCTACATCCCCAGACTTGTTTTTTTGAGTCAGTCTTGCTTTGTAGTTCAGATTGGCCTTGAACTCACTACATAGCCCAGGCTGGACTCAAACTCATGGTGATCCCCCGCCTCACCTCAGCCTTCCAGGTGCTGGGATTATAACGCCTAGCTTGTACATTTGTAACTTTAACAAGCTTGGTCATTAGCTACTATAGTATTGCCCAAAAAAAAAAAAAGAGAAACAGATGATAGTTTTTGTTTTTATAAAGTGCATATTTAATTTTCAATTCCTGGCCTCAGTAAATATCCTATTTCAGGTCCTTCCCACCCCAACCTAAGGAAGGAAGGGGAAAAGCTACTTTTTATTTTTACTTAAACATCTAACATCAAGAAAAAAATTGCAAGCATATTCCCAGGTAAATTTGCAAAGGTCAACAGTACCGAGTGAAGTAACCTTTCATAATTAGTATGAATATTCATAATAAAAGCGAGTATACAATTTAGGCATCCATGCTTTTTTGGCAATTTTAGGGTCTTCAATTATGAAAAAAGTACACAACTGAACAAAAGAGCCGCCTTGATATGTGGCCAAATCATTCTTACTGGAGTTGTATGAAGACATTCCTGGTTTTGGCCCCTGCAAGAAGTTGATTCCCCCTCACCAATTATAGAAGTCGCTACTTCAGTGCTATGGACACTACTGTTCAAAGGGCTTCGTACTCTATCTTACAAGTAAGGGATCTTTCCCAAAGAATAATGCTAGCAACAGGGCTAAGTGAAGAGTACTGATGGCTTCAGTCTGCCAAATGCTTACTTCTGTAGCAGTATAAATATGGATTATTAAAGTTGTCTACTCAAGTATAAAGTCTATGCAAAACTCTCATAATATAGGCAAAATGTTCAAAGGCTAAGAAAAACATTTTTTTTCTTTTACAAGAAAGTGCAACTGCAGGGTCTCTTGAATGATCTTCTGGATAGTTCTGCAGAAAACTTAGCAGTTTGGCTCAGAAGGTACAGTTCCTCACGAGGAACTGAAGTTCTTCCTAGAAGAATACAAAGCGATATTTCAGGCAGCTTTCTGAAAATGAACCGTTAGTTTATGGCTACGCAATGAGACAAATAGGAAGTTGTAATGAAGACTTTCGCATGTGCTGTGGTTTGCATGGGACTTGACAGAGCTTTTCCCCTTGCTCCAGACACCAGCTGGTTCGTAACACCAGACGTGGCACTTACAGCGCTTGGTCCAGCTCTGACAGCAGGCAGGTCACTAATCATCTGGGAGAAAATCACAAGTGTTTTCATGTGTTTCAGTGTTTTTCAGGTCATGTCTCAATACTTTCAAATAAATCATTAAAAAATATAACATTTCCTCTGTTATTTCCAGTATTTTACATAGTTATGGATACTCAAAATGAAAAGAGAGCTTTAAAACAGTCATCAGTGAGACCTTCTGTCTCAGTCAGATTTTCAGCATTTGTTCGGCTGCGGCTAGATGGTAAAGGAAGTTTTCCGTGGCTGGTGGAAGTCGTTTTTGCTTTAATGCCTGCAGATTGAGGACTCGCTTTCTTCCATCATCCAGAACTTCTGAAAATGGTGCTAGGTTGGTGAAGATTTCTTTTGTTTTAAGGGCAATATCCTTCAACAGAACAAGAAAATGCGCAGTATGTTTTTACCATCCCAAACAGAAATCCATCAAGCATACTCCACCCCCTCCCCTCCAAACACCAGTGACTTCCATTTCACTCCTTCCTCTATGAATCTGCCTATTCCAGGTATCTCATCTAAGTGGAACCATATAATGCCTGTCCTTTTGTGCCTGGCTTTTTGCACATAGCATTCTATCCTAATGTCCTCAAAGTTCATTCATGATCTAACATGTATCAAATGTCTTTTTGAGGATGAGTACGATTCTATCATGTGTATATATCACATTTTGCTCGTCCATTCATCTGCTGGCTTGGACTTGGGCTGTTTCTATCTTCAATCATAACTAATGCTGCATGCAACACTGCCATACGAAAATCTGTTGGGGTCCCTGCTTTCACCTCATTTGGGTCTATACCTAGAAGTGGAATTGCTGGATCATATGGTCGGTCATTTGATGTTGACTGTTTTTTGGACAAATTTCTTCCCAGTAAATATCATTGCCCAGGAAAAGAAACCCAGGACCTGGTACATGGACTTTATTCCTGGCCACTGACTAACTCTCATCTGGGCGGCTGAGGACTCACTGGAGCTCACATTACATCACAGCTTTTTCCTGGCTTGGTAACATCATTAACTCCTAACTCAAATAGTTTTGAACCCCTACCACATGCTGAGCACTTTCACTTTCTCTCCCCAAGGTCGCATTCATTATACTGAATCATTTATGGGCCGGGGATGTAGCTCAGTGGTTCCAGCGGCTGCCGCACAAGCGCAAGGTTCTGAGTTCAATCCCCAGTACCAAAAAAAAAAGCTTTTCATTATACTGAATCATTTATGTATCACTTACAGTCCATGAGAAATGATCCTAACCTAAACAATCCAAAACTCAAATTGACACATTTCACCACCACTGTGAAGAATAAATGTTTTACTGTAATGATGGGAGGCAATGCCGATTCACATCAGAAGAAAAAGGTGTCTTCAGTCTCAGTGTTTGGGTCCTTAGGAGAAGACCATCCACTCTCCTGGTCATGGTTGAACAGTGACACTGGCCAGTCCCTGCCAAACTGTGGCCACCTTATCTTTCTGCGCATGTCACCTCCTCAAAGAGCTGCCTCAACCTCATCCCAATATTCCCGACCTCAGGCCTGTGTTTCTGTCACAACATTTACCATGGCTCACATTACCTTTCGGTCTATTACTCTGTACTCATCTGCTCCACTAAAACATAGGCTTTGTGAGGGCAGGCACTTTGCTCATCAAGTGCCCACAGTGTCCACTGCTCAATGAATACTTCGGAGTAAGAGTAGGCAAGTGATGAAATGCGCCACGTGGGACTAAGTATGTTGAGCTGCTTCTCAGAGGCCCCTTTGGTGGCACTAAGGGACGACAGTCTTTTAGGTGCCCCAGCCCTGGGCTCTGAGTTGGGTCTGGATGAGCAGAGCCAGGGGGAGGCTGGGGTGGGAGTGTATCCTCAGGAGGGGAGCAGGCCAAATGCAAAGGGGCTGCAGACAGGAGGGAGGGGAGGAAGGGGAGGCCATGGTCCAGGGGACGGGCTTTGGCATCAAATGGAAATAAGCGCCATTTGCAATCTCAGGCTGGCCCAGTCAGGAGAGGATGCCAATGGGCACAGGGGTCTCTTTGTTCTTCTGTGAAAATTCAAGAAGGAGGATATGCACGGGCTGGCCCAAAAAAGCATTCCGAGCCTGTGGCAGTTATATCTTTCACGATCAACACCGTCCCCAGAGCGCACTAACTGAGCAGGGCTGGCGGCCATGCACCCGCTTGCCATCACCACAGCGGCTGTGCTGCAGACCCACGCCTGAGCACCTGCTGCGGCAACCCCTATGTGCAGCAGAGAGGCCTGCTCTGCCACAGGCTGACCGGCGAGGCTGCCGTAGAGCCCTGATGAGGCGGCAGTCGAAGGAGTTACCTGTATAACCTGGCTGTCCGACTTATCGGGGTCTTCGGCCGACTGGACAATTAGCTGACCGATTTCTTTGTGCAGTTTACCCATCGTCATGGACTCTGGTGAGAGAACGGGGAGTGTGCTGTGTGAATATTTAGAAGTTTACATAATAAAAAATAATCGGACATCTAATTGAAAACCTGAAAGACTACATTGAGGGAATTTTCAAAAAGCTACAGAACCCTGCACATTTTCATTTTATCATTGAACGAATGTGGTGATACACTAAGAGGTAAGGTGTAATCACAATTTACATACTTCACAGTCCAAAGGAAAACACATCAGTACCAAACCAAATTTCCCCTTCCCACCCATCTGATAAGAATTATTTTTTCTTTTCTTTATTCAGGTTTTTTTTTGGTCCCAGGGATTGAACTCGGGACCTTGTGCTTTTGAGGCAGGATGCAGAACCACTGAGCTAAATCCCTGGCTCAGGTTTTTTTAAAAGACAAGGTCTTGCTATGTAATTCAAGCTGGCCTGGAACTCACTGCAATCCTCCAGCCTCAGCCTCCAAAGTGCTGGGATTACAGCCATGTGCCACCACGCCCAGCTAAGAATTATTTTTCTTTTCAGACAAAAATCTCATAAAAATTCTGACTACAAATAATCTATGCCTTTAAGACAAGAGCCTGACTTTTTGTTCAAGTCCTTACAGGTAAGAATTTAAGCCTACCACAGTGGTATATACTATAGTACCAGTACTCAGGAGGCTGAGGCAGGAGGATCACTACAAATTCAAGGCCAGCCTCCTACATGGTGAGTTCAAAGCCAGCCTGAATTATATAGCCCTGTCTCAAGAAACAAAAACCAAAACAAAATAAAACCAACAAACAAAAAAACACTTCACATGATCAGAGTCTATCTAACAAAGTTCCCTAATGAGCCGGCATGGAAGAAATAAGCAACCACACAAAAGCTGTTATCAGCAATCCCATCTGTACCACTAACACATCTAGATCTGTAGAGGTAAATGCTGTGTTCAGAATCCAGACACCAAATATCCCTCCAGCTTCACAGCGCAGGGTAAGCAGGCCTCCACTACTGGTTTTAGAGTGAGCCTAAAAAGCACAACTGCTTGGCTTGCATCTTCGTCAACAACGGAACAGAGGAGAGAGAACAGAGAACTAACCTTTTGCAAGAGGAGCAATGGTGATCTCGCTGTCTGCCAGATTCACAAACACATCATAAAGATCCGGTCTATTGCTCACCTCCAGGTCTACAAACCCAGCGACGTAGCCTGCATTACAAAGACGACCAAATTACTGGAAAGGAAAAGATAACACAGCACAAACATATCAAGAGAGAACTGAGTCTAACAGTTTACAGGTGCTTTTCTTAGTGATTTTTTTTTTTTTTTTTTTGTACCGGGGATCAAACTTGAGACCTTGAGCTTTCGAGGCAGGCGCCAGAAGCACTGAGCTAAATCCCCAGCCCTCTTAGTGATTTTAGATGAGCACATTAGCTGTTCCCTGTGGCATTTATTAGGACTACATTAGAACTGGGCATAACGGTGCATGCCGCACCCCTCTCAGAGGCTGAGGCAGGAGGATCAAGCATTCAAACCCAACTTGGGCAACTCAGCCCGACCCTGTCTCAAAAGGCTGATGCTCGTGGTGCACACCTGTACTCCCAGCATTTGGGAGGCTGAGGCAGGAGGATCACTGTGAGTTCAAAGCCAGCCTGAACTATGTAACAAGTAGTTTTTTGTTTGTAAAACAAAAAACCCCAAAAAACTCCAAAATGGGCTGGGGATGTAGCTTACTGCAAGTGCCTGGGTTCAACCCCCAGTACCATACACAAAGAAAACCCATAAAAATGATTATACTGGGCTGGGAATGTAGCTCAACAGTGCAGTGCCTGCCTGGCAAGCGTGAGGCCCTGAGTTCTATTCCTGGTATATATATTAAAAAAAGACTATATTGGGCCAGGGATTTAGCTCAGTGGTTTTGCCACCTGCTGTGCAAGCGCAAGGACCCGAGTTCAATCCCCGGTACCAAAAACAAAAAACAAAAAACAAAACAAAACAAAAAAAGACTATATTAATTATATTAGTTGCCCAAAGAAATTCACAAAATGCTCCACAATTTGACTTGAGTGTCAAGGGACAAGACTGCAGTCAAGCACTTACTCCCATCATTGCTACCCGGGGCAGGGATGACAGAGGAGGCAGAAGGCTGTGGGGACTCACTGATCCAAGCTTCCCTGCAGATCTGAGAGCCCATCTGCCTGGGTTCTCAGGGATAACACGGAGAGGCACCACCATTCACTGCTCAGATCCGAGACAGTTAGGGCAAAAGAAATCAATAGACTTCTGAAATCAGTTTTGTTCAGGACAAAGGTTCCCAGACTTCTTTATTTCATAGAGCCGCATAACTACAAAATGCTGGGGGAAGGGCTGATGTTGGTTTGATTATTTTGAAGACCTACTTATTATTGCTAAATATTTAATTTACCAAGTACAGACATCTAAAATATAACAGCAATAAAAACAAAATTGGCTATGGAAAGCTAGACCCAGACCAAACTACATTAGAAAATGCAACACACAGCAAAATGATACTGCTGGTAATAGAAAAAGGAGGAAATTATTCAATACATGTCCTGAGCCAAGTGGTCATCCAAGCCAAATGAAAAAAAGAAAAAAGAAAGAAATAGGGTTGGGGGTGGAGCTCAGTTGCAGAGCCAGTGCTTAACACACACAAGACTCTGGATTCATTCCCTGGCGCCAAAAGAAAGAAAGCAAAGAAGAAATCAGACCCCAAACTCGCACAGTAAACAAAAAAATAACTCTAGGTAGATTAAAGAATTAAATGGGAAAAAGAGGATTGCTGTAAGTTCATGGCCAGCCTGAGCTACATGGAGACCCTGCCCCCCAAAAGTAAATAAAAGTGTATCACAAACAATACGCTGTTTAAAGACATGTTTTTTGGTTTTTCTTGGTTTTTTGTTTTGTTTTGTTTTTTTTGTACCGGGGATCAAATTTTCTTGGTTTTTTGAGATAGGGTCTCCCTTTGTAATTCAGGCTGGCCTTGAACTCACTATGTAGCCCAGGTTAGCCTCGAACTTACAGTGATCCTTCTGCCTCTGCCATCCCAAGTGCTGGGATTACAGGCGGGCGCCACCATGCCTGGCCTTAAAGACATGTTTTTATATGTGTATGGCCATGAAGAGGAGTAAATCCATGAAGAAATCAAAGGAAAAGATAAGCTCTGAGTAGGAAAACAGGTGCAAAGAGACAGAAAGGGACATGAAGTGTACTTAAAAACATTGACAATATTCCACCTTTTTACCTGTCTGTGAGGCCCATAAGTATTTTTATTTTTTATAATTGGCACAATCATCATATATCATTTTGTATTTAAGAAATATTTCTTAATTTGAAAAGCAACAACAAAAGTCTACTATTTATTACCATCATTGTTTTTTATGAAAAGATCCTTTAACATTATAAAAACATAGGGACTTGGCCCGGGATGTATGTAGCTCAGTGGCGCCATGCCTGCCTGGCAAGTGCAAGGTCCTGAGTTCAATCCCCAGGATGATGATGATGATGATGAAGAAGAAGGAAGAGGAGGAGGGGAGGGGAGGACTAACATAGGAACATAGTAATTTTAACTTTAAGGGCCAGAGATTTAGCTCAGTGGCGCCGCGCCTGCCTCCCAAGCACAAGGTCCCGAGTTTGATCCCTGGTACCTCAAAAAAAAAAAAAAAAAAACCTCAAGAATTTTAATTTTAAAAATAAATAAGCCTGGCATGGTGGTATAGACTTGTAATCTCAGCACTCGGGAAGCTAAGGCAGGAGGATCACTGCAAGTGTGAGGCCAGCCTGTGCTACAGAGTCCCAAAAAACCAAAACAAAACAAACAAATAAATAAATAGTACCACTAGAGAAATGAGATTCCTGTAGCTATAAGTAATAATGTATTATTAAATTATTTCCAAAATCTTTCTTTTTTAGAGACTCAGTAAGTATATAACATCATTTAAAAATAAGTAATTTTCTTTGAAAAGTTATGGAAAGGCTCAAAATAAAGTCTAAATATTCAAAATCAAATCACTGATAAGGAAACTTTTAAAATTAGAAGTTAGAGCCAGGTGTGGTGATGCACGCCTATAATTCCAACACTCTGGGAAACTGAGGCAGAAGGGTTATGAATTTGAGCCCAGACTGGGAAACTCAGCAACTCAGTAAGATTCTGTTTCAAAAAATAAAGCTCAGTGTGAAGGCCCTAGGTTCAATCCCCAGCACCAGAAAGACAGACAGACACACATCAATAGATAGAATGAACTTGGGGCTAGGGGTATAGCTCAGTGGTACAGTACACAACATGCACAAGGGCCTGGGTTCAATCCCTAGCACCCTGCGCCCCATCCCCAAAAGATTAGAAGTTTACAGGCTAACAAAAGAGAAATGCTCCTTTAAGCAAAACCTCCTTTAAGCAGTCTTTCCTCTCCAGGATGCACCAGCTACCTGTGCACATCTGCAGGGCTTCCAGCTCATCAGCATGGAGATGGACGTAAGAATGCAGGATGGTCCAGTCCTGACGATGCCACACTAGGGCAGGCAGGGTCCTGGGGAATCAAGGCAAGAGCTCAATCACATGGTTATTGGCCCACACTGCTCCATCTCTTTCCGAGGAGGAAATGAGGAGGGTACAGTCCCACAGCTAGGCAGTGGCAGAGGTGAGACCACAGCCCAGATGTGCTAACGCCTCCAGGCTTACATTAAAGCAATGCCATGTTTTAATGTCTGCTTTTGGGTCAGACTGGCTACAGAACTCTCAGAGTGAAGTTTCCAAAGATCTCCATGGAGACAAAGAGTTATGTTGGTAGTTTCCCTCTAAATATATTACTCAGCAGATTGCTAGAGAGAGGGACCCTGGGGCTTAAATCCAAAGTGTCCCTTGTAAGCAAGAAATTATCTGAGCCAGCTGTGGCACATGCCTACACTTTCACCACGTTGGGAGGGTGAGACAATAGGAATGCAAGTTCAAGTCTAGCCTGGGAATTGAGTGACTGAGACTGTATCTTAAAACATAAAATATCAAAGGTCTAGGGATATTGCTCAATGCAAAGACCCAGGGTTCAATGTCCAGTATTGGGGGAAAGAAAAAGACAAGAAAAAACTTGTAGCAAAACATGTACTGCAGGAAGATGTGCCGAATTTATCTGTGGTTTCAGGAATCCGTTGGTGTCCTACATCACAAGCTATAGCTACTTCAGTTAAAGAAGTATAAATGTAGGGAAAAGGTAATAGGATAGAATAATAGTTTGAAATGGAAGAGAGGAGGGTGAAAACTCTGGGTGTCTCACATATGAAGATGAAATTATAATCATAACAATCATTTCTAAAGCATGAAGGGCAAGACACATGCTAAGCACGTTATATAAATTATTTCCAGTCCTAAAAAAAATTTACTGAAAAAAGTATTAGGACCCTCATCTTTCAGATAAAGAAACTGGGGCTCAGAAACATTCAGTATCTTATATATGGTCACAGAGCTAACAAGTCAACCTTCCAGGACTTTTTTGTTTTTGTTTTTTTGCTACCAGGGATCGAACTCGGGTCCTTGTGCTTGCGAGGCAAGCGGCAGAACCACTGAGCTAAATCCCCAGACCTTTTTGTTTTTGTTTTTCAGTACTGAGGATTGAAACCCAGGGCCTTTGCACTGAGTTACATCGCTAGTTCTTTTTTATTTTTTGAGACAGTGGGTATCCCTAAGTTGCTTAACTGCCCAGGCTGGGCTCCAACTCATGATTCTCCTGCTTTGGCCCCCAAAGTAAATGGATTACAGGTGGGGACCACCACACCTGGATCCCTCCCAGGACTTTAACATAAGTCTGACTATGAAGCCTTTCTCCTTTTCATTATCTTACCACTTATGCTCTGCAAGCCTCAATTTTCTCATTCATATAATAGGGTAATAATACTTTCTTACCACATTCTTATCATGAGTCAATTTAATAACAAGGTATCTTACATAATGCCTGGCATGCAGTAAACCTGCACAAATACTAACTCCTCTTGCTTTTAAAAAAGGAGCTATGGGCTGGGGATTTAGCTCAGTGGTTTTGCCGCCTGCTGCGCAAGCGCAAGGACCCGAGTTCGATCCCCAGTACCAAAAAAAAAATTGAAAAAATAAAAATAAAAATAAATAAATAAATAAAAAGGGAGCTATGAACAAGTTAGATTTAATAAACAAACAAAGAGGGCTGGGGATTTAGCTCAGTGGTTTTGCCACCTGCTGCGCAAGTGGAAGGACCTGAGTTCAATCCCTGGTACCAAAAAATAAAAAAAATTAACAAAGAGCCCACGCTGTTTTTATTATAATAGAGTCTGGTAAAACTGAACAGAAGGAACGACTTAGTTAAAACAGGAGTCAGCAAACCATGGCCTATGGGCCAAGCCGCCTGTCTTTGTAAATAAAGTTTTATTGAAACAGTCAATTCATTTATTACACACGTCTGTTTGCTTTGGTGCTACCCAGGCACCTGAGTAGTTGGGATACAGACTGTATGGCTCACAAGCCTAAAATATTTTATCTCTGCCATGGAAATGTTTGCTAACTCCATGCTCTAACATAGTCCTATTTCTAAAGTGAAAGGACGATCTGCCCCAATTCAGTGACCTTGAACCACTAGACTGAAACTAAAGCATTAGACCAAAATGGTACCTTATTGTCAGACTAATGCACTACGCTATTTATATCAAATGTGCAACAGAACAGAATACACAGGAACATCTAGCGTTCCAAACTGTCTGCCAAGAAATTCTGCACTTTTTAATAATTAGTGACAATACCTGGTAAACTCTTGGACAGCTTCTATTTTGGGGTGATAGACGACAACTCGTTTTTTTAGCATCAGTGCCATGTGTAATATAACAGTTTCCATTCCAAATTGAGATACAATGTCTTAAAGAAAGAGCATAATGTTATTGCATTAAATATTATACAACATAAAGTTTTTGTCAAAATGAATTCTTGTCATAGGAATATAAAATTATTTTCGATACAGAGAACATGTTTTTCTTTTATTTTTCCAGGTACCAGGACCTTGTGCTTGCCTGGCAAGCATGGCACCACTAAGCTGCATCCCCAGCCCCTCAGAGAATGTGTTTAGGCAAACAGAAGTAGTACAGAACCACCTCATTTGGTGGGTGGGCATATTTATCCAAATGCTGGATGCACAGATGAAATGGAATGAATGAGATGAAGGAGAAGCCATGTCTTTCAGTGTCATGAAAAAGTTCTAATTAAAAAAAGAAATGTTCACTAACCCGCTGCCCCATGACATTACTTCAGTCCTTTTCACCTAGTTTGAAGAACACTGAACCCCTCAACGGGATGCTAACACCGAAAAGGACAAGAGATCACGAGCAGATGGTCAGCCACTGTGGGAGGAGGTGAAGAGGGCAGCCTCACCTTCAGAGTCCCTCCCTCCTCTCTCTCTCAAGGACCCTGAAGCCCCCTGGGCTGCCTCTGCCATTCTGCACTTCCCAGCTGGTAGCTGGATTGGGGACTCCAGGCCAGAGGGTTGAGCTCTTCAGATGGAAGAGATAACTGCTAAGATCTAAGGAAAGAACAACTATAGAAGTCAGTAGAGATCCAAAGCATGAAATGCAGTATGCTGGTGAAAGAACTTTCCATAGCAACAGAATAATATAGAAAGAATGCTCCCAAAATGTTTTCTTTTGACAGAATTCTAACTCAATAAGGAAATATGGGAGTTAGAATACCCTTCTGAAAAACAAGGAAAAACAAGTACACAGATGAAAATAATGCATGGAAAGAGGGCACTAGTCCAGTGAGAGGTTGTCCTTGGCTCAGCATTTTGTTGTTGGGCTGAGTTTTTGCTTCTTTCTCTTTTTTACCTTTGATGGAGCCTGCAAGGTATGCCTTTCGAGCATCAAAGTCCTTGCTAAGGAAAGAGCCATTTTCTTCACTCTGACATATCCCCTTTGTAAGAACTGCAATATAACTCTCCATCATTTTAACTGGGCTCCCATGCTTCAAGTACACTCTGTAAGAAAGGACAAAAAAAGACTGCTTTTACTTGGCATGAATGACATGGAGATGTACAACAAGGCTAGCCAAGGGTACTTTCTAAAAAACCTAATGTAAACTTGCTAACACACTTTTTTTCTTGCTAACACACTTCTGAATGCCCGAGTCTTTTCACAGCATGTATTATATCTCTAATTTAGTTAGAAATTCTATTGAATAAAACAACATGACAGATCTTCAACAGTTCTTTGAAGGCAGTTCTTTCTTTGTATCTACCTAAGAGTGCTGTAGTCTCCTACAGCAGGATTAACTACGGACTTTGGTTTTGCAGTGCTGGGGGTTGAATGCAGGGCCTTGGGCACAGTAGACAAGTGGTCTATTACTGACCTACCCAGCCCAACTATGGTCTTCTCATGGCCCCATTATTCTCAAGAACATTACATTCTTATCTCTTTTTATGTCTCATGTTCACAACTGGTATCCTTAGTCATACAACTCTTGTTTTATTGGTGCAATTTCCTTTGACAAGAAAGGAGTTTTACGCATTGTTCACAGAGAAAGCAGTAATTAGATGTAGAACCCATACTTATTATCAGAGCTCCCAGAGGTAGCTATATTTAGATAATTAAATCCAAGCTCTTTAAGTTTCCAGTGATAAACACACATTAGAGACATTTGTCATCAATTTAAGACTTCCAGAAAATGCTGACAGGAAACTGGCTACATTTATAGCCCACATGTGGAGTCAGTCACTTCCCCCTTGAAATTTCTTCCTGTGAACAACTACAACTAAATTTTGCCTGAGAAACATGACTGGGGGCTGGGGGTGCAGCTAAATGGCAGACTGTTTATCATGCAGGTGGCCCTGGGTTCAACCCTCAGCATTCCCTCCCTCCAAAACAACAACAAAAAAACAGATAGGGCTGGGGATATAACTCAGTGGCACCATGCCTACCTTGTAAGTGCAAGGTCCTGAGTTCGAGCCCCGGTATCAAAAAAAAAAAAAAAACAACAGGCATGACTGGATCCACTTGGGTCTTTCAGCAAGTAATATGACAAAGAATCAGGAATAAAATAAAACTGACATTTAGGACAGACCATTTGAGAATTAATTTATTGCAGACAGAGTGAATAAAGGAAAAATCTATTTTTAACAGATTATCAAATTTTGCCAATCATCAGGTTTTTTTGGTTTTAATAATTTCAATTGACAAACTGAGGAAAAAGAGGTAAAGAACAATGAATAGTGGGCTTTCATATACAAAAACTTATATACTAAAATACAAGCTTACATAGGGAGAAAACCTCTCTGGTAGGATATAACAGGGGTTGTTTGCAGATGGGGTAGGGAGAAAAAACTTTTGTATAGTTGGTATTTTTAATTATGTACTTTATTGCTAACACCAAAAATATTGCACTAACATTACAAAATATAGGGCTGGGGATTTAGCTCAGTGGTGCTGCCGCCTGCCTTGCAAGTGCAAGGTCCTGAGTTCAATCCCCCGTACCAAAAAAACCCAAAAAAACAAAACATTACAAAATATGAAAAAAAATACACAGGAATGGACAAGACAAACATAAGAAAGTTGGTGGGACAAGATGACTTCCTACAACCCTGGACCATTAGAGAAAGAACAGAGAGAAGAATCCCTCAAAATTACTCTAGAGGAGAACCACACAGGGCAACTCAGGACCTTGTTCAGATGGACACCCACAAGCTGTAACACCTGACAGGACAGCTGATTCCAAGTGTGCACAACCCCAGTTCTCCCCAAAACTTATGTAACTGAGTTGAAAACATAATACACTAATTTAAACACACACACACACACACACACACACACATGCACAGAGCTGGGCGTGGTGATGTTCACCTACAATCCCAGCACTCTAGCAGGCTGACGTAGGATTGCAAGTTAGCCCAGCCTGGGCAACTTCATGACTTAGTGAGACCCTGTCTCAAAATAAAAAATAAAAAAGAGCTGGGGATGTCTGATCTCACTTTTTTTTGCTCTGGGATGAGAGAGGAGAATCCAAAGTATTGCAATGCCATGGTTCCGCAGAAGGTACAACACTTCCAGGCTTCCTTATGGGGTCTGAAGTCACCTTACCTTCTAGACTCCAGGATATTCAGCCAAGTAACTTAACCCGATTCAATCAAATGAATTAGGGGACTACTGTTTGTGCAAAAATACTGCTCTGGTAGTTTTAGTTTATTCTTTCTGAATAGTAATAATAACCTCTGTTTGTGTCTATGCCACACTGGAAGACAGTTTATATTCCACACAGAGCCATATACAGTACCTGGAATTTGTCTTACAATAGCAAGAAGTCTTTCTTATTGTAGCTAGTTGCATAAACAGTAAAATCTCATTTGGTCAAAATACAATCTAGGGCCGGGGGTTTAGCTCAGTGGTTCTGGTGCCTGCCTCACAAGCGCAAGGTCCCGAGTTCGATCCCCGGTACCAAAAATACAATCTAACTGGAAACCCTTAATGAGGTTGAGGCTTTGTTTTGGTTTTGTTTTCAAGGGTGTGTGTGTGTATTAGTGGGGGCATACAAGCATAAAAAAGGTAAAAAGGTAATCATTTATTGGACTTTTGTTTTTTAAAGTACCAGGGATTGAACCCAGGGCCTTTAATATGCTAAGCAAGCATGCTACCATTGAGGTACTGTACATCCCCAGCCTATTTATTGGACTTATAGTGGCGAAAAACACAAACAAGTCTTTCTCTTCACCTCCTCACAAAACTATTGGGCGACAGCCTAAGGGCCAGAGCTTATATATAATATCTAGAATTACAATTGTATCTAGTGATAATATAAAATGAATAACAGTAACACTAAAACTAAAATTTTGTTAAAGCCATTATCATTAAAGAAAAAGCCAATATCCCTAATATATAAGAAAGATATTATTAAGTCCACTAGGTATACTCAAAAATACAAGAGGTGGACTGGTATATTTTAGATAAATATTTTCAACAGCTGGGGCAAAACTAAAGGCATCTATTTGAATGATGACTAACCCTTGAGAATTTCCCAGGCCCTCAGCATTCCAGCTGAGAAACATTTTCCTATGCTTTAACATAATTCAAAATGTCCATTAACTTTCCTCAAAATAACCATCTCACACAAATCTAAACACATATGAACCAAATTACCACTTCATAAGGCACTTAACTTCCCCACACTGCTAAGGAAACTCCCCAACCGGAAGTGGGGAGAAGTAACAGATCCAAAGTGCCAAATGACCCAACACATCCGGGAACTGTAACAGTTGTCCAAACTGCTTCTCTCCCCCCAGCCCATTTTCACAAATCACAGGAGAAATCAATAAAGCAGAAGAGAAAGTCCTCTACCAAACAGCCTCTGCAGGGCTATTCTAGATTAAGTCAGGGAAACAGAGGGCTGATATTTGCTTCCTGCATGGAGAAATCTGCTGTGTAACTACTGAAGGAGATCTTCACTTTGGTATATTAGCATTTAACACGGTTTTCATACAGACCTACACAATATCCTAGTGAAGGCGGCATATTTCTCTGGGTTAAAATCTTTGGCGGTCAGAACAATAGAAAAATGAGTCACCTGTCCAAAGAAACAAAAGAAGTACACTTTTAAAAGATACTTTAGTAGAAGTTAATACATACTTTAATGAAATAATCATTTTATTTCCCTATTCTACCAAACCTCTGGTACAATGCATACCAGCATTAAAAGGAAAAGACCAAAATTTAAAGTCTTCGTTTGCTTCACCATAATTTTATTTGAATTGAATTTATGTGTATATATATTATTATACAAATATTTATTTCCCACATAAGAGTACACAGTTTTAGGAAAAATTTTTTTCAAAAATATTTCATTACAGTGGTTCTGCCACCTGCCTCACAAGCACAAGGACCTGAGTTTGACCCCCGGTACCAAAAAAAAAAATTTTCATTACAATATTGAAAATAGGGGCCAGGGATGTAGCTCAGTGGCGCCACACCTACCTCGCAAGCACAAGGTCCTGAGTTTGATGCCCGGTACCGAAAAAAAAAAGAAAATAGATTCCTACTGAATATCCCCTACTCACCAAAACAGAAGTAGGATGCTAAATCAGACCTATCAATTAGCAATTGTTTTCATTAATGAGATAAAAGGATAGAAAACAAAATGCATCTCAGTACAATGAAACAGTTGCTGAAATAACTCTGTAGAGAGCTCCAATCTAAAGACTACTACTATGTTTCATTAATTTACATGCTTCTATTACTGAAAATACAAATTTCGGATAATCATAACCCTGATATTTCCATCAATGAGACCAAATTTAGAACTTTATAAAATACAAAGCATGAGGGGCCGGGGATTTAGCTCAGTGGTTCCAGCGCCTGCCTTGCAAGCGCAAGATCCTGAGTTCGATCCCCAGTACCAAAAATAAATAAATAAAATACAAAGCATTGAAGAAATACGTTTTTTAAAAATCATATTTTGAAGTATAGAACTAATTTTGCTATTTTTCAAATCTGAAAACCAGATGTAATGTTGACATTGCTGTAATGTGGCAGTCTGGAATGTAAAACATGGAATGAATCCACTTGAGGTTGCCTCAAAACTTTTCAGGGTCTGGGCCAGGGATTTGGCCTCAGTGGCTCAGTGGTTCCGCTGTCTGCCTCACAAGTGGAAGGACCCAAGTTTGATTCCTGGTACCAAAAAAAAAAAGACTTCAGGGTCGAGTGTGGTTGTACTCGCATAATCCAGCATTCTGGGAAGCTGGGGCAGAAGGACCACAATTTTGGGCCTGGCTTAAGCAACTTACTGAATCATCAAGACCCTGGCTCAAAATAAAAAATGAACAGAAAAGGAGGGGAGAGAGCTGAGGATGCAGCTCAGTGTGAAGTTCTCAGGTTCAATTCTCAGTACCAAGGAGGAAAATCCCTAAAACACAGAGTGTTAAAGTGGTATTGTGGACATGCTGCATACAGTATTATCACGACTAAAATATTAACCCTGAAAAGGGAAAAACAGTCTCCCCACGTATACACCAGAGGCTCAGCCACTATGCTCCAATCCTCTTTCCTTTAGAAAAATCTGCCTGCTTGGGGTCAAGAAAGTGCATGATAGCCACAAAACAAGTTTTCTCACATTGATACTATTCATATCAATAAAACACCATTAAAGCCTACTTAATTCATAAATTTCCTTACCATCTCTAAATTTTTAACATATCTTTATCATTCACAAGCAAATGAAAAAAAACTCTTACTCTGTCAAGATCATATCCTCTGAAATAGTTTTTAATTGTGGAAAAATGCTTCTTTCCACTTTCTCTGTTTTTTGAGACAAGGGCTCACTATATAGCCCAGGCTGGCCTTGAACTTGTGGAAATCCTCCTGCCTCAGCCTCCTGAGTGTTGAGGTAACAGGCATGTGCCACCACTGCCGACTGCTTCTTTCCACTTTTAATCAAAGTCATGGCTTTGAAATTACATTTCTACTCCATCCGACTATAACTTGACAAAGGAAAAAGATCCCTGTATTGCTCACCACTCTATCAACCATAAAAATTATGTGGGTGGGGGTACTGAGGAACTGAACCCAAGGGCACTCTACCACTGAGCTACACCCCCTGTCTTTTTAATTTTATTCTGAGACAGGATCTCACTAGTTGCCTGGGCTGGCCTCCAACAAATCCCAGGATTATAGATACAGGCTACCACACTCAGCCACGATAGATATTTGTATGTGAAGGAAATCATTCCTAGTGAATGTAATAGTTAATATTTTCAAATGTGTTCCGTGAATAAGGTCTAAAGCTAAGAGTTACTGAAATAATCTTACTTTAAATATTTTTGGTTGTTTTTTTTTACTTTAAGCAGTCATACCTTTTTCAAAACTGAAGAATCTGGAACTTCAACTGTTGTGATATAAAACCATGATCTTCTGTACTGCCCAAAGACAAAGGGATGGAGAAGTTTGTTTTCATCTGTAAGGCAGCATTTTCTGAGCAGCAGATTCCTCAGTGCGGCTGTCGTGGAAGGATAACACCACACCCACAGTACTTCTCCATTTGTGTCCTTTTCTACGGTGGAAAGATGGTCACTGAGAATGTCAAACAGCAGCAAGGAAGTGAATTGATTGGTTACTTAGAAGCACTTAGTGGAATCAGTTTTAATACCTCATTTTACAAAGCAACCAACAGAAGTTGAGAGCCCAAATCCCAGTGAATTCATCATTTTGAATATTAGGCCTCCTGAATAAAAAGCTTTTTATAACAAGCCATGAATGAAAATGTATTTGTCTAAATGTATGTATTAGTACATATATTATTAGTACATATTTGCAATACATAATTACATTCATCGCAGGGAGTTGGTACATGCACATTAACACCTTAATTCTTTCTTCTTCCCCTTCCCCTGTTCCCCATTCTTGTGATCCCCTTCCTGTTGCAAAAGATCTATCTCCTATTTCCATTATCTTTTATTTTATATTTATACCTTGGGTTTCTCATATAAGAGAAACCATGGCATATTTAAGCTTCTATGTCTGCTTCATTTTACTAAACATTAGAGTCTTCAGGTGCACCCATATTCCCCCAAATGACTCAAATTTATCCTTCTTTATGGCTGAGTAGTACTCCACTGTGTATAAATATCACATTTTCTTCATCCTTTCATGTGTTGATGAAAATATAGGATGCTGGGCCAGGGATTTAGCTCAGTGGTTTTGCTGCCTGCTGCACAAGCGCAAGGACCCAAGTTCGATCCCCGGTACCAAAGAAAAAAAAAAAAGAAAATACAGGATGCTTCCAAGCTATTATAAATTGTGCTGCTATAAACATGGGTATGCGTGTATCACTGTAATATGATGTTTTTAATTCTTCTGGGAAGATACCTAGAAGGGGAACAGCTGGGTCAAACAGAATTTCTATTTCTAGGGGTTTTTTTTTTGGTACCAGGGCTCGAACTCTGGACCTTGTGCTTGCAAGGCAGGTGAGGTGCCACTGAGCTAAATCCCCAGCCCATCTATTTTTAGTTTTTTGAGGAATATCCATACTGATATCCATAGTGGCGGTACTTGTTTACATTCCCACCAACAGTGTAGTAAAAGGCGAAAGGTTTATACGATCTGAAGAGAAACCAGTGTCCCCATCAACAATGCAGAAGGGTTCCTTTTTCCATGCAGCCTTGCCAGCCACGAATGAAAATTTAGCCTTAGACATTTGGTACAGCTCGTCCATATCTCCTCCCCCACACATGCTTATTAGTTTATAATGATATTACATTTTTATTTAGTTAGAAGAATCTAACAAATATAATACATAGAGGTTTAAGAAAAAAAGAGAAGGAGCCGGGCATGGTGGCGCACACCTGTAATCCCAGCACTCGGGAGGCTGAGGCAGGGGTGGCCTCGAGTTCCAGGCCAGCCTGTGCTACACAGTGAGTTCAGGGCCCAGCCTGAACTACAAAGGGAGACAGACCCTGCCTCAAAAACAACAAAAAAAGAACAAGAAGAAGGCTGGGGATATAGGTCAGCGGTATAGCATTTGGTAACATATACAAGAGGCCCTGGGTTCTATCCTCAGAATTACAAACGGAAGTTTGTTAAAAACAAAAAATGAAGGGCCAGGGATTTAGCTCAGTGGTTACGCCGCCTGTCTCACAAGTGCAAGGTCCCGAGTTCAATCCCCGGTACCAGAAAAAAAAAAATGAAGATGGTATAATTTCTTTCAAATCAATATCAATTGTATAAATTCTGTACTTAAAAATTTGGGAAAAAAAATTATTTGGGGCCAGGGATTTAGCTCAGTGGCATCATGCCTGCCTTGCAAGTGCAAGGTCCTGAGTTCAATTTCCAGTACCAAAAAAAAAAAATTTTATTTAGTGCGGCCAGAGACGAAACCAGGGCTTCAGATGGGTTAGGCAAGCTCTCTATCACTGAATTACAACCCTAGCTCCTAAAAAAGTTTTTTTAATCATAAAAATAGAGGTTATCCATTCATATGCATACCTTTATCACCAAACACCTCAATTACAAAAAAAAAAGGGGAATTTTGCTACTAATAAAAACTTGAGGGACTGAGGGCATAGCTCAGTAGTAGAGCACTTGCCTTACATGCACAAAGCCCTGGGTTCAATTCCAGCACTACAAATTTTTTTTTTTAATTTAGAAAAAAAGCAAAAGAAGCCAAACATTTTAGAGTAACATCTACTGAATGTGTAGTGGTAAAAATCTAACTTTTGATTTACAGATTTTTTTTTTTGGTACCAGGGATCGAACTCAGAACCTTGAGCTTCCAAGGCAGGCGACAGAACCACTGAGCTAAATCCCCAGCCCTGATTTACAGATTTTTTTTTTTTTTTTTGGTACCGGGGATTGAACTTGGGACCTTGCGCTATTTACAGATTTTTTAAAGTGCTCTTTTTAAAGTAGGTATGGTGGCTCATGCCTGTAAACCTAGCACTTGGCAGTCTGAGGCAGGAGGTCTGACTATCAGAAGTTCATGAGTTCCAGGCCAGGCTGGGATACATAGTGAGTTCAAGGCCAGCCTGAGCTATACAGCCAGACCGTCTCAAAACCCGCCTCCTCAAAAAACTAAAATAAAAAATGCTCTTTCATTATGGAAACTATCAATCATATAAAAGTAGAGAGAATAATAAAGTGAATTCCCCGAGCTTCAATAATTATCACCTGGTCTTCCTTGTTTCATTCGAGGTAAGGATCCCACCCCACCCCCCTTCCTTTTTTTTTTTTTTGAGACAGGGTCTGGCTATATATAGTTCAGGTTGCCCTTGAACTCACTATGTAGCTCAGGTTGGTCTTGAACTTAAGGTGATCCTCCTGCCTCAGCCACCATACCCAACTCTCCCCTCTTTTTAAATCTGCCCCCCCCACCCTGGGAATGGAACTCAGGACCTTGCACTTGCCAGGCAGGAGCAATGCCACTAAGCTACATCCCCGACCTTGTTTTAATTTTTTAGGAAATAGGGATCTGGCTATGTTGCCCAGGCTGTCTTTAAACTCCTAGGCCCAACTCCTAGGCTCAAGTAACCCTCCTGCTTCAGCCTTCAAAGTAGCTGGGACTGCAGATATATCATCACCCCCCTTTTATTTGAAATAAATCCTTTCAAAATGCACAATATGAAAAATTAAAACGCACTGAATTAAAAAAATACAATCATAGTTATCCTTTTCTTCGCTGTTACTGAGGTCAGATTTTAACTCAGCCTTAATTAATTGTACCTTCTGGCAAAACTAAGAAGCCTGATGTACTTAGGTTTTGCTTTGATGCAGGTTTTGTTTTTCAATCACACTAGAAATGCATACAGGAAGACTTTTCCATATAAATGCACTTCTTTGAGACACTGAAAAATGATTAGCATTTTTCTCGGTTTACTAAGCCTAAGCAATGTTCCTGTACATCTAAGGGATAGAAAGACAATTTAGGAGTGTGTTAAATCTCAGGAGAGTAAAAATTTTTCAAAGGGAACCGACAGACTTTCATTCATTCAAGCTACCTGGTGCTTCCTGTCACCTACAGACAGATGGTTCTTCGAAATATCCACCCACCACGAAGCACTGCGCACGGCTCACGAACACACTCTGGGCTGCCTGGGGCTCCCGACGAACTTCCTCACCCATGAGTTCCTCGACCCGACCCGAACAGGTCCCAAGTGTGATTATGCAGGAACTCCAGAGCTCGAGCTTAGGGTGCTGGAGCTCTCCACTGGTAGGAGTGGCGGTCAGGGACTATGCTGCCGGGGTCCCAATCCTGGCTCTACCACTTCCTACCGTGTGTCCTGAATAAATGACACCCCGGGCCTCCGTCTGACTTTTCCTATTCACCCACTCGGGGAGCGGTAAGCGGGGAACAGTCGTGCACTACGCGCTGCAACCCAGCCGGCCGGGCGGTCACGCGGTTCCCTGCGCTCCGAGGCGGCCGCCCGGCGGGACCAATCCCGCTCCCTCCCCGCCCCGCCAGACTCGCGCAGTCGCCGGAGCCTCGGAACCCAGACCCGGGGTCCCGCCGGGCACCCCCGTGTACCGCAGCCTCCGGCCGGGCAAGGCCCCAGACGCCGCCGCGGGAGGACCGGCCAGGCGGCGGGCGGGTCCCCGCGCCGAGGAGGCCGGGCCCACCGCCCCCAGCCCAGGCCCCACACCGAGGGCGTCGCGCCTCAGCACGCAGACCGCGCCCAGGACCCAGGAGGTGCGGGGGCGGAACTGGGTGCGGCCCTGGAGAGCAAGGCGCCTGCGTTCTCACCGATCAGCCCCACTCCGAGCAACAGCTGAGTGTCCCCCGCCTCGGCCGCAGCCATCTTCCGCCGCCGCGCGCAGCTTCAGCTCCCGCCGCAGGCCCCGCCCACCCCAGGCCCCGCCCGCGACCCCGTCCGGCCCTCCTCGGGCCCCACCCATATCCAAGTCCCGCCCCTTCCTGGAGGCCCTGCCCTGCCTCGCTCGGACTTCCTTCTAGGGCTGCTGGCCTAGATTTAGGCTAGTGCCCACTCCCACTGAAACCTCCTTCACGCGACAAGTCCAGGTCTCTAATCGAAGTCTTCATCCGCCTTCTCAACCCAGTCCAATTTCCCTTTTTTTCTTATTTCCTTATTCTTATTCCTTATTTGACCCTAGTCTGGGTCAAAAAAGCACGGCACATGGGGCCTGGGATTTAGCTCAGTGGTGTCACTGCCTGCCTCGAAAGCGCAAGGTCCTGAGTTGGATCCCTGGTACCAAAAAAAAAAAAAAGTATGGCCCTAAATTCCTGAAAATTGAGGTCTCCATTCATTCATTCACTCAGCCATTCCAAAATCGAATACAATCAAAAAAGAAAAAAATTGAATGCCAAAAACAATAAATAAACCGAGGACCTAGTATGTATTGGCCACAGTTGATTGAGAGTGGGAGAGACGGACAATTGTGTAAAATACATAATACAGCTCAGAGTGACAAGCTCAATGAACACAACAAAACGTGCAGGATGTTACTGTATTTCCTCAAAAAAGACCGATCTGGAAAATAAGCCCTAGCATGATTTTTCGGGATGCTCATAATATAAGCCCTGCCACAAAAATAAGTCCCTGTTAAGATCATCAGCCAGATGGATGCATTTAAAGTGCATCTGTTACAAATGACAGATACATTGAATTATAAAATAATGTTAATATATAATTAAATAATAGTATTGATATTAATACTTAAATGATAATATAAATTATAATTATTTGTAAATACCTTGGGCCCCTTTGCAGGAGAGGTGAACGCCTATGTAAACAAATGAACTGGAGACTTATTGCTGAATGACCAATCAGAGCACAAACAGAAGGCATGAATAACATGTGCACTTGATAATAAAGGGACCTGGATTTGTGTAATGCATCATAGGTTGCAATGATGCACTACGAGCAGACTACATGGACAAGAAGTCGCCGTTGCTTTCTACATGCCAAAGACTAAAACTAGACCCATGTCTCTCACCATGCACTGAACTAAAATCAAAATCAAAAACTAAATACTAAAACAAACAGGGCCAGGGATTTAGGTCGGTGGTTCTGCTGCCTGCCTCACAAGTGCAAGGTCCTGAGTTCAATCTCCAGTACAAAAAAAAAAAGAAAACAGAAACACTAAATCTGCTGGAAGAGAGAATAGGTAGAACTCATCAGAACACAGGAGTAGGCAAAGACTTCATGAACAAAACCCTGATCACACAGGAAATGCTACAAAGAATCAACTACAAAGATCTGATCTTACTAAAAAGCTTTAGCACAGCAAAAGAAATCACAGAGTGAAGGGCTGGGGATTTAGCTGAGTGGCTTCGCTTCGCAAGCGCAAGGACCCAAGTTCAATCCCCAGTGCCAAAAAAAAAAAAAAAAAGAAATCACAAAGTGAAAAGACAGCCCACAGAGTGGGGAAAAAAAATTTAGCCAGTTTTCTCAGACAAAGGACTAATATCTAGAACATATAAAGAACTGAAAAAAACCAGACTCTCCCAAATGTAAAGACCCAATCCAAGAATAGCCATCTGAGATGAATACACACTTCTCAGATGAAGAAGTACAAACAGCAGATAAAAACGTGAAAAAATGTTTAAAATCACTGGTCATTCAAGAAATGCAAATTAAAACAATACTGAGATTTCATCTCACTCCAGAAAGAATGGGTATTGTCTTTTATTTTGGTACCAGGGATCCAGCTTAGGACCTTGCGCTTTTGAGGCAGGCGCCAGAACCACTGAGCTAAATCCCCTGCCCAAGAATGGCTATTATCAATAAATCAACCAGGGCTGGGGACTTAGCTCAGTGGTGCTGTGCCGGCCTCCCAAGCACAAGGTCCTGAGTTCGATCCCCTGTACCACCATAAATAAATAAATAAACCAATAACAAATGCTGGTGAGCCTGTAAGGAGAAAGGAACCCTTCTCCACTGTTGGTGGGAGTTTAGTCTGGTGCAACCACTGTGGAAATTGGTGTGGAGATGCCTCAAAAAACTAGGATTGGAGTAGCCATTTGACCCAGCTTTTACCCTTCTAGGAATCTTCCCAAAAGAATTAAAAGCATCATACCACAGCAATATATGTGCGCACTCATGTTTATAGCAGCACTGTTTGTAATAGTTAAATCTTGGAAACAATCCAGATGCTCATCAACTAATGAATGGATAAAAAAGTCATGGGTTTTAAAAAAAATAGATAATGGAGTACTACTCAGCCATAAAGAAGGATAAACTTGAGACATTTCTAGGCAAATGGATGCACCTTGACACTATATTCTTAAGTGAAATAAATTGAACACACATGTAAATACCACATTGTTTCTCTTGTGTGAGAAACTGAAAGTATAAATAAAAGTCAAAATGTATAATAGATATTGTGAAATAGGAAGAAATTGTTCAAAATAATACCGAGTGTCCGATACTTTGGTAATA